TTTCTATGAATTTTTCCAGAAGGATGGGCATAGACTGGATCACAGAGCGTCCCATGCTTAAAACCATTATGAATACTGAAGCTTCCCCTAAAAAGTGGATACGGAAAAGTTATTCAGCATATCGGTTGCAGTAGTGCGAAAATGAGAAATCTTATGATTCCTCACTGCACAATAGCAGTAACTGTTGTAAAATTGGGAGATTCTTTGCAGTGATTTATACTTACACGAACACATTTTACACACTGATAATCTAAAGGAAGTCAAAATCTAAGAATAATGTTATGTAGAACCAATGGTGCTATAAAACTAGCCTAGGTGGCAGATAAGTAGCATATTAAATGTGACTTATTTCTCTGCGTTTAAAGTGATCTATCAATTCATGAGACTGGTGCTAAATAGCATTACTCAAAATTAATAAATGTCTTCACCTGCAATGAGAAGACCATATAGTTGGGGAAAACCACCAAGTCAGAGGCTGCATATTGGTCTATCCAAATTGGAAATTGAGGGACGGTATAAAAAATAGTTTTGCACTATTTAGGCCAGGGAGAAAATCATGTTAATATAAAAGGAAAACATTGGACGTAGATCTTATTGAGAGAAAATTTTTGAAAGAAGTACTAGGATGACTCGGTTCCACCCATGCTCCCCCCAAGCACCACACACACACACCATCTTGGAGCCACTAACCCCCAGAACACTACTGTTGACAATATATTATTCAAAGTTTGAATTGTCTCTAGTAAGTACTGATATAGACAGATGTTTGCAAAAACATTGGTTGGAAGATTAGGCAACTTACATCCACACAACACACCGAGCAGGATTACATGAAGATTCATCCGCACAATTTGCAGCACTAGAAGTTCTCAGCTCTGCATAGGGCAGAATACCACTGTTAAGGTTCTCATCATTAGAAATCCTTGTCTCTACATAGGGCACAATATTATTGTTCATTTTTGCAGCATTAGAAGTGTATGGCTCTACATTATGCAAAATACCATTGTTCGCCTTCTCAGCATCAGAAGTCCTTGGCTCTACATCTGGCAGAATACCATCATTCATGTTCTCAGCATTAGAAATCCCTGGCTCCACATCATGACAATCATCACTACCTGAAAATTAGATCTCCACTTGAATACAAAGCATCTTCCTAAGCACAACCTAATTTTGTCAACTACATTTGAAGAAAAGTTGAATGTTTTATACAAACAGTTTATTTATTTACTTCAACATCATATAATTTATGCAAAATTACAAAAGTCCTACTTCACTAGCAAATAGGCCGAATCAAGAAAAGAACAGAGAATACTCTTGCCTGAGATAAGTACTGGGGGAGACACTGATGGTAAAGATGCAGGTGAGAGCTTCTTGATTGAATTTACAACTTCTGCAGTCCGTTCCTTCTGAATATGTTCATCAATAGAAGTTGAGGCCGCTTGACTGAAATTCACCAGTCTTTGCACTTATAATGAAATCATTAAGCGCTTAGTAAATCCAATAATATTATCTAACACGATTATTAAACAGAAATCGACCCACAAATTCATAGGATTTCAGATTTATTAACTGAAGCATTCGTTACCAATATTATTAGAACCAAGATATAATCAACTGAGACTATTGATTAGTTATGAAACACAAGAAGTCTTATCTCATTACAATATAAAAGGAGGTAATGTAGAAAAAAGAAGGTTTGAGTTTGCAAATCAACTGCAACTCTATTAATTTGTATAAGCTATGAAATTCAAGACTTATCATCTCCTCACATTATGAGAGTAGGTGATACCATATTTAATACAGAATCCTTTCAACTCTTACGTGTACTTCTTTCTAAAAGTATTAGTTTTGGGCAAAAGTACACTAGCTCAACATGTTTGACTAACGTAAAAATAAGTAAAACCTTTTGTTTCCAAACATGTATGGATAAGTTTTTTTTTTTCCCTACTTTTAAGTAAAGTTGCTTATTTTGAAATAACTATTTAGTGTGAATCAGCAATTTGTTTCAAACTTTAACCAGTAAAAGAAAAAAATTTGAAAACTTATGAATCTACTTATAAGAAACTTTTTATTTCTATAAGGTAAGCCAAACGTAAGTATATCAAATGGTGGGATACAATCTAATAGGACAAAATATTCACCTCCAAGTTCTTTGGACTGCTGCTGTCGCCAAGAGATCTTCACATTGCCCTGTCTTTGAGGCTTTTCCTGTGAAGGACCTGAAGCATATTTTGCTCTACCCCGATAAGTAGAGGACTCCATAGGTATGATTTGGGGTTTGATAGAAGTTTTCGCAAGTAAATTTACCCCCATCTGGAGTAGCGGAGGGCTTGAATGACGAGTAACCATTTTAAAGGATGTGATTTTTGGGGCTCCTGAAGATAGCTTAATGGCCTCATTAACAGGGATAAATTTCGTCCTCCCAGTTACAACCTTCTTCTCCCAGTTAAGAGAACCCCGTCTTGTTTCATTTGATAATGTTCTACTCTTTATAGAACGGGTAGCATCATGGCACACTGTCCCAGAGTTTATTAACTCTGACCCTCTCAGTAAGTCTCCCCTTGATTCAGCTCTAGGCTCACACTCGTCACAATGCCAATCTGTCGGGTAATCCTCATAGTAGTTTCGCATGCAATACCTAGATTAATATGTAAAAATTAACTATAATACATAATACCCGAAAAATTACAAAAACTTCCAGAACTTGTTATTCTATCTACAAGTGCAGAGTAAAATGATGCGTAAAGGCAACAGATACACTGAAGAGGAGGAATAGAGTTCTTCATTGTGGAAAGATCGTGAGAAATTAAAATTATCTCCCAAACATGCATGGACACAGACACACACCCACAGAGATAGAGAGAATGGTCTTACATATGTTCATTAATTTCTTTACAAAGAGAGCAAGTAACTATTGCCTCAGCAATGCCAATATCACCACATGTATAGCAACGTTCATCCTGGAAGTCAGGAGAGAGGTATCAAAAACCTTAACAGATTACATAGAAATAGCAATATAATTCCTCAAGAGATCATCACAGTTGATCATGTGCATGTCACACATTGACAGCAGTTTCAGAAACACAAAAAGAAAAAGGGAAAAAAATATAATAAGCTATTAAATGCCACTGTTATGTATGAAGAAGTAAGACCTTTCCACATAAAGCAAAACATGATGAAATATAAAACAGAATATAAAAAATATAGAAAATAAACTTAGGGCAGAAGAAGCCCGCATACTTGGTGTAACTTGATGCAACTTTCTTATAACACAGGACAAACAAATTTCTGTTCCATAAGTTATGCTAATGAAAATTAAGATAACGGGAATATAGTTTTTATAATGATCTTGTGGCTTATAATTCATACATGGTAAGCTAGCAAGAGGTAATAAAAAAACCTTCTTCTTATGCTTGAGACTGAGTGAATTACATATTAAACATATTCATGAATATGAAATTTGAAGTTTGAAGTTTGTTTTCTTTTCTAAGTTTCAATATCACTAGAAGGATTGTTCACAATAATCAGAAGTCTCTTAACTGAAACAATGACAAAAACAAGAAATATCACAGGCACCATAGTCGATGATAGCTTGGGAACCTTAAGAATGCAGGTTTAATGGTGACTTTAGTATACTTAGAGCATATTGAACAGACCACGTGTCAAATTTAATTCTAGAGCATGACTGTGCAGAGAATTAAACTACATTGGATCACTGGGTATTTCATCTAAGGGTTGTTTATATCTTTTTTTTTTTTTTT